TATTTTTGGTGTTAGAAAGGCTTAGGCCCAAGTGGAGGGCAAAGGTTGCATGGACTTATCATGCACCTAGTTGTAGCCAATCTAACCCCTTAGATTCCATCCTTGGCCACCAAGTAGCATCTAGGGTTCATTTGGCATTGCATTTGGAGTGCATTTGCCTTGTGAATTTCGGCCATGCATTGCTCCAAATGCAACCCTAGATGCCTCCCCTCCTATAAATACCCAACACCCCACCACTTGTAAATACTTTGGATTATATGAATTTGAGAGAGCATTTTTGCCTCAAATCCTTCCTTAGTCCCTAGGTTAGTTCGGCTAGCCTCCTTCATTCTCCACCCTTGGAGAGTGAAACCCTAGAGTGGCCTCCACCTACCTTGGAGTGAGCCAACCTAAATCACCAAACACCTTCACCTAAAAAGCTTCCGCCCAACCACCTAGACCTCACGGCCATCTTCCTTTTCTCCATCCTAAACTTCCCTTTTTGTCTTCCTTGTTGAACCTAGATCAAGGGCAAGGTCTTCCCCTTCATACTCTACATCAACCATGGAAGGAGGAACCCATCATATATGATTGCTTATTTGTTTTGATATTTCTTGCTTACGTAAGAAGTAGTGGTTGGGTGTATCGCTCGTGTTGCGAGCATATGTGCAAGTAGTAGTGGATGAAACATCGTGTTAATCAACTAGAAACTATTAGAACCTTATGTTTGGGTGAGACATTAATTTGTCGAGTTAATTAAGAGTTTACGGTTGATGGAGTTTCTAAAATCTATAGTTGTAGCAATTGAATCTTAAGAGATTATATGTTGAGAATTGGAGTTGAGTGTTCTTAATGAAAGGTTGAAATGTTAGTGATTTCCTTGGGTTTTGGTGCTTGGATGTTAACCTTTTATGGTTTAGGTAGCATGTGAGTTTCATTTTCTAAGTCTTTTGTACTGAATATGTGAGTTGTTTTGGTTTAGGATTGTAGTGAGAAGCTTGGATATGAGTTTGAGGTGGAAATGAGTGGGTTTGGAAGGGTTGACGTATTTTTGTGGCCTTAGATGTTGATTTGCTATTGTTGTCTGGTGTAGGGGATGTTTGCACTGCAGTTTGTTGTGCCCGTATGAGTACCATATTGATAGATTTAGATTTTATGGTCTTCACAAAAGTTGTAGCCTTGGACGTTATCTTTCCAATGAAACTGGAATCAAGTAAAATGGAGGTCTAGAACTTCAGTTATAGCTACTTTGGTGATCAAAGGTCTAGTTGTAAGCACTAAATATATCTGTGGTGGTTTTTGAATTTTTAGCTAAGAAGATGATCTTTTTAGAATCTCATGTATCCATAAAAGTTGTAGCTTATTCTCTTAGCTTTCTATTGTGATAGGTTTGAGATCATTTGGATGAGTATAAATCTTTAGATATCATTTTCTTTGACAGTTGTTGAAGGGATATGTATGGTGTCATGATAGTTTGAGTTGTTAGGCAATGCAAGGATAAAAACTGATTTTGTCATGTGGATTGCGAGGTTGTTTAAGGTTGTATGATGCTAGGTGGTAAAGTTGGTTCATGTACATGCTATATGGAGTAAATGGTGATTGATTCGTACATGCTTAGGGATGATATATATTGAATGTTTGAAGTAGGTATTCTAATATGATTTGTTATGTGTGTATGTTGATACGATGATAGATGACCTTATGGATTAATTAGTGGATGTTTGTGTGTTTAGTAAGGTTGACCTCAAAGTGTGATATCATCATAATGAAGTTGAGAGTGAGGACTTATCCAAGATAGCTTTAGGCCAAGTTATCTAAGTATGATTTTTGGTTGTATGAAGTGAGTTTTCTAGGTCTTTTAAATTTTAGTGGTGGTATAATGTAGATCTATCTAAGGTAGAAGTTCTACTTAAGTGGGAGATACCAAAGTTAGTTAGTGAAGTTAAGAGTTTTCTTATATTAACTTATTATTATAGGAGAGTTATTGAGGAAATTTCTAAGATAACATTATCTTTGACTGGATTGACCAGGAAGAGAGAGTTGCCTTTATGTGGGATAGTAAATGTGAGAGTAGGTTCCAAACTCTTAAGAAAAGATTGGCTAGTGTTAATATTACCAGAAGGATAACTCATGTTACTCTTCCTTAACCAATTAGAATAGTACTCCACAATTCAAAACCGTAACCACCCAAAAATGGCATTGCGTTCGTGTACCACCCTATCAACTTCGTACTTTCTTTTTCCTTTCTCGCGTCTCATGTTGCTGGAACTCAAATTATGTCCAAATCCAAATTGGAGAAGTGCGAGAAGAACTCCAACTCCGATAATCTCAATTGCACCACCAAAATCGTAGTCAACATGGCTGTTTCTAGTGGCTCAGTAAATCATTCTCATTAGCTAGTAGAGATTGGATCCAAAGAATTTTCTGGAGCTATATTGGCTAAACTTCGATACTATGCTCAACCTTGCAACAAGAGTTTGTTTCTTTGACCACTAAGACACAAGGTTAGGGCCTAGATACAAGAACCAGAAATGGATTTCCTGTCATCAGGATCTGAACCCCTGTCTGCATCATATAATGCAGTAAGAGTAAAGGGTTGCACAGGCTTAACGAGAAGCCCATGATGAAGGGACGTGACCCATTTAGATGCCGTAGGATTGTTTTCATTGTAGTTGATGTTGTGATAAGGGGCTAAGAGAGGAATTGACAGGCTTTGTTAATTGCATAGCTAATTTCTAGTCTAGTATTGGTTGCTATTGGAGTATGTACCTTTATTCGTTACAGTAGTATAACTTTATTTTCTGTTTTGTTATTTCTCATGTATTTACTAGTTATTGTTTTTATAGGTTAGTTACTATTTCTATAGCTGTTGCAAGAAGCTATTCAAGCATGTAAATGTCACTTTGTATCTCCAACACATTGGGTTGAATGATACATACAGATCTTCTTTTGACTCCCATATTTCTCCCTCAAATCTCAATATGGTATCGCAGAGCTAGTTCAATCTTTTCTTTTTCTTCTACCTGTCCTCTCTATTTCTCATCTTCGACTTCATATTTTGTCAATCTCACATGGCAAACGATTTCACCTCCTTCGCAACCTCCGCCAACCCTTGCTAAACCGGTGAATAACGCCAATTCCTCCTCTACAACAAAGCACTCATTGCCTCGTTCCCTAACCTTCTCACACTCAATTTCAGGAAAAGTCAATAGCAAGAACTATCTTCTATGGTGTTAACAAGTCAAACCTGTGATTAAGGGACATCAACTTCATCATTTTTTGGTGAATCCACAAATTCCTTTGAAATTTCTATCAATTGCTAATCGTGATGTTGATTGTGTCTTTGAATCCTGTCTTGCTTGGGAACAAGATCAACTCCTTGTTGTCTTGGAAAATCTCACAAATTACCTTTTAGTCTATCGAAAACAATATACAGTACACTGTTTGAATTAATATATAGTGATTTATGCAGTCTTGCTCCAATTTCCTGTATGTGTGGTTATCAATATCATGTAACATTTGTTGACACATATACTCGCTTCACCTGGATATTTCTTCTCAAAAGCAAAACATAGACTCTTGATATTTTAAAACAATTTCATGCCATGGTCAAAAATCAATTTCAGCTTCCCATAATGCAATTCAAACAGAGTGAGGAGGAGAATTCGTCCCTTTTCTTCTTATCTTGTTGACTCAGGGATTCGATGTCGCATCATTTTCCCTCACACCCATCACTAAAATTGCGTGGTGGAATGAAAACACAGACATATTGTGGAACTAGGTCTTACATCGTTAGATCAAGCACATCTTCTCATACAATTTTGGGTCATGTCTTCCATACGAGTTTCTATCTCAGTAATCGTTTACCATCATCCTTGATTTTAGAATGATGCCCCTTTTCGACAATTGTTTAATTAGATTCCATTCTATAATTTTTTAAGAATATTTGCTAGTTCCTACTTCCTTCACCTTTGACCACATAATAAGAAGAAGATTCAACTTCGATCACAGGAATGTGTATTTTTGGGATACTCTACTTCCCACAAAGGAAACAAGTACCTTGCAGCAAATGGATGAATCTATATCTCGTAAGATGTGATTTTGAATGAGTGTTCATTCCCTTATCTAGACCTCTTTTTAGCATCGCCCACCACTGTCTCTCCACCTCTTCATGTTCCACTTGTGGTCACCAACACTACATCTTCTAGTCCTATTGAGGATATTTCAATCACCTCACAAAATATCCTTTTAGAATTTTCCACTTCAGCCACATCATCGAACAACATTGATGCACCAGATGTATTGCTTCACAACCTACTACACTACTCCACTCACTAATACACTCTCATTTTTTCCACCAACAAATATACATTCCATGACAACTAGGGCAAAAACAGGAATCGTGAAACCTCGACCCAAACAATTGTCTTACTCATGTTGAATTGTAGAAGTACTAAACAAGCCTTAGCCAATGACACTTGGCTTGATGTGATGAAAGAAGAGTACAATGCCTTAGTACATAACTTGGACACTTGTTCATTTACCTCCTAATATAACTGCCACTGGGTGCAAGTGGATTTTTCGTGTCGAAGAAAACTTAGATGGCACAATATACAAATACAAGGCTAGGCTTGTCGCAAAAAGGGTTTCATAAAAAAAGTGGGTATGATTATAATGAAACATTCTCGACTGTAGTCAAACCTGTCACTGTTCATCTTGTAATCACCTTAGCTTTGACTCACCATTGGTCCATTCAACAATTAGATGACAACAATGTGTTTCTCATTGGTAATCTTGAAGAGGAAATGCATATGAACCAACCTTAAGGTTTTGAATTGTTTGATAAGAATTTAGTCTGCAATTGTACTATGGTCTGTTTTCCACATTTGTAGTTTTCCTATCAAAGTAGACAATAGTTGCATGCAAATTGATTTTCACTGATCAAATTTTTAGTAATTGTTGGACTAAAAGCTGTGTTGACTAATTAAAGATGTCAATGTTGAGGAACCAATGGAGGAGATAGATAAACCTTGACCATTTTCAAGGATGACATTGATCCAATGTAGAGGAGTGTTATTCATTAAATTTGTTGGATTATTGGTCTCATGATGTGATGTGCCTGAGTGAACATATCGGTTGCAAGCTGGTTGTGCAAAATGGCTAGGGGTTGAAGCACTGCGTTTGACTGAGAAGGCCCTTGATTATGTTGCCAAGGAGAAGGACCTTGCTAATTCATGTAGGGTGAGAGAAGTAACCACCCTATCTCCAGTAGAAGAATTATTAGGCCATGCATTTGGCCAAGACCAAGGTGGTTGGGGACCAACAATAAGACAATTTATACTTATAGCAAAATTCATGCTGAACTGAACTTGAGATTGAAACCATCCAAAATAATGGTGTTAGGAACCAAGACTTGTAAAGAGAAAGAAAATAAAGATTTTATTGAAAAGGATGAAAAGAACACAAAATAGGAGAGAAATATCTCCTCCAAGGGTTTCCCCCTTCACAAAGCATTACTCCTTTCACAAAGAGCAAATGCTCAATTTACAAATGAAAGATATGAATATCTTTTCCTCCCCTTTTGTCCTTCTATTTATTTATGTTACTGACTCACTAACAAGCTAATATTCTAACTTACTCGCCTTCACTGTAGTCTTGGCAAATGGTCACCTCTACCTCTGGAATGTCCAGAATGATTTCCACTTCCACCTCTTAAACCATGTCCCTGATTAAACTCGTGCAATTGATTGCATTAGATGAATCCTGTGAGCTTGAGCTTGAGTAACATTGACCGAGAGTGGTTGAACAATCACAACTTTCTTGGTTCTATGGAGCCTGGCTTCACGAAAAAGGATAGCTTCAGCTTCAATAATATCACAGGGTTCCAATCTATATTGAATGATTGCAGCAAGTGAAGTTTACTCTTCAGGAAGTCCTTCAAGAATTGCTTCAACATGATCATGATGAGTGATTAGATCTTTGATGAACAGGATAATATAAAAAATGACTTGGATTCTAGCGACTAACATTCAGACCTCAATTGGCATGATCTTGCGGCTAGCGTTCATCTGTGAGTGGAAGGATTTATGATTTTTTCCCCAAACCTGCTATGAATGGACTCAACGCCAACCCTTGGGAGAATTGAGTTGGAAAGTATGGATAGGATCCAGGTGAACAGCAATGAGACTTGCTGTTCCCAATCCAAATACTCCAGATTGACTGAATCTAGATCGCGAATGTGCTCAAATTATGCAGTTTGTGACCTTGAATGATGCCTTTGACTTGCTGTTTCCAGGATAAAAAAATCATTGCATTAAGTTTGATCATAATCTGATGCAAGGTGTTAGCAATGCTATTCTCGGGAGAGAACAGGATCATGCAGTGATGCCATTGCTAGGATCGAATGAGATCACTATACCATATTACAAATCAGGAAACTGAAGAAGTAGAGATTGAGAGAGAAGGCTCATAAAATGTGAATTGATTCATTTAGCATCGGAGTATATTGGTGTGGCTATATATAGCTGAGATTGACTCACTGCTGAGTCATCAAAGTAACTGACCTGTAACTAATAACAACAGAATCACAAGTGACACTTTCACAATCGTAAGTGAAACTGAAATGTAAATGTAGGTTCAATTATATCTCTATTATCTATAAAGAAGAACAAGTGAAAATAAGTAGCTTTCTGAAAAGCTACTATGAGGAGCATATTCTAATCTTTATGTAGCTTATTTGGAACTTCCCTCTTCAATATGCAACTCTGATAAAGAAAAGACTCGAATCGAAACAGATAATAAGTAAAATAGAAACATGAAACATAAAATAGAATTGAATCAACGCTTGTGCAAAACTTTGCTGCTCTCGGTTTCAAATAAGCATCAACGTGGGTTCATAACAGCAGTGTCATTCTTTCGGGCAACCCAATTGCTAAACTTTGCAACACGAGAATGCTTTGTAATAGTGGTTTGTGGACTTGGTGAGTGATTGAGTGAAGTTGGCTCTTGCACATAGACAGTGGGGAGCGACTTCTGTTTGTGGTTTGGTTTTCTACTTTCAGGTTTCTATTACTCATGTTCCTTCTTTCACTATTACATCTTCTCCTATTTTTATTCTTCAAACTATAGTTTCTGAAAACTGTTTTATAAATTAGTTTCAAAAGCCAAAACAAAAGACCCAATCTAGCTAACTTTTATTCTTGCATTCTATGCTTCAACTTTATAGCTATTTCGAATTGATTCTTTGAAACCATCTCTTGACAATGTGGATATAACCTGTGGTTCCCGATTTCTTGTTACATGAATTTAATTCTATTATGATAAGAAATTAACATTTGCATGTAAAGTAATAGCAGCATTATTTTATTTAATCATATCTTAAATAATGGCCGACACTGATGATAAAAAATTGCCATTTTCCTCTGTGAAACAATGGGAATAACAGTAAATAAAATATGCCAGTGCTAGCAAATAATTAATATCTATCATGTTTCACTAACCGAATGGTCATGGTAATGCCAGTAAACAAAACTGAATATTTATGTGGGTTAACAATCTTATAGCTTAATTATATATTATATCACAGAATGTTTGCATGATGCTAATTTTACCTTTTTTGTATTTTTCCCTTTCGACTGATTTATTTGAATTGTATCACGTTATGATTATATTATATTTGCAGGATATTAATTTTAATTTCTTTTGTTTTGATAGCTCGTAGCAATGCCTCGTAAAGCCAAACGTTCAAAAAAGAGACCATCTCGTGTCATATCAAATTTGATGCCCCATGCTTCATCTCAAGGACATTCCACATCTGTGGAGCCACAATTACAGCCTTCAAAATTGGCACAACCCTGTGCGCTTACTATCTCTCTTACTTCATCAATTCCTATTGCTCAAAATTTGGTTCCATCACCAGTTCCACAATTGCATAGTATATGAAATCATTATTCTTATAGGCTAGTATTGGTTTTGAATTTGTTTTTTTTTAACTTCATCTTATAGTCTTTAATTATGCCATGTAACACAACTGGCTAGCTAGAACCCCGTGCTTCTACTATATCTCTTACTTCATCAACTCCTAATTCCTATTGCTCAGAATTTGGTTTCACCACCAGTTCCACAATTACATAGTATATCTCAAATCTTTGTTCTTATAGGGTAGAATTGATTCTTAATTTTTTTTTTAACTTCATTTATAGTCTTTAATTATGCCATGTAACCCAACTGAATAGCTGCATGGGTTAATATTTTTATTGCTATTACACAATATTATATTTGCCTGGTACTAATTTTTCTTTGTTATTTGGTACTTGTAGCAATGCCTCATGATGCCAAACGTTCAAATAAGAAAGTACGTCATGGCACATCCAATTTGATGTCTCATGCTTCATCTCAAGGACATTCTACTCCTGTGGAGCCATCACTACAACATTCAAAAGAGACACAACCTTGTGCTCCTACTATCACCATTATTCCACCATCGGTTCCTACAGCTCAAAATACGGTCCCGGCATTCGATCTACCATCACATAGTATATCATTGACCTTATATCATTGACCTTTTGTTCTTGTAGGCTAGAATCAATTTTGAATTTTTTTTTTTTTTTTTATCATCATATCACATATTCAATGGTACAACTTTTATTTTGTTTTTGGTAACTTGTAGCACTGCTTTGTAAAGCCAAACCTTCAAAAAAGAGTAATTTTCGCTTCATTGCAAAGACAATCAATACCCCTGGAACCATCATTACAGTCTCCCGAGTTTGCACAACCTTTTGCTCCTACTAGCACACTTATTCCAACGTTAATTGCTATAGCTCGAGATCCAATTTCATCATCAGATCCACCACTGCATAGTTTGTATGTGTGTGTGTGTATATATATATATATATATATTTCACAGACTTGTGTCCCTCCAGTCTTAATTTGATTTGATTTTTTTTAATTCATTTAACTAGTTTAATGGTCACTACTATGAATAAATCATTGATTGATATTTCATGAAACAACTGAATAAATACATGGGTTAACATTTATATAACTTAATTATGGATTATGTCATATTATTATATTATCTTTGCATGGGACTAATATTTGTTTTGGTAACTTGCAGCAATGCCTCGCAAAGCCAAATATTCAAATAAGAGAGCATGCCATGGCATATCAAATTTGGTGCCTCATGCTTCATCTCAAGGTCATTCCACACCAATGAAGCCGCCACTAAAGCCTTCAAAGGCAGTACAGCCTCGTGCTTCTGCTATCACCTTTATTCCTCCATCAATTCCTACAGCTCAAAATCTTGTTTTACCATCAGATGCACCATCATGTAAGACACCCGATCTTTGTTCCTCCAGGCTAGAATCAACATAGAAATTTTTAGCATTATATCACATTATATTTGCAATGAACTAATTTTTTATGTAACTTTGTAGTGATGCCTCGCAAAGCCAAATTTTCAAGAGAGAGAGCATCTCTTGGCATATCAAATGTGATGCCCTATGCTTCATCCCGTGGACATTCGACATATGCAGAACCACCACTACAGCCAGCCCAGGTGGCACAATCTTGTTCTCCATCTATTACCCTTGCTCCACTGTCAGTTCCCACAACCCAGAATCTGGTTTCACCATTGGATCCACCATTGCATAGTACATCACTGTCCTTTGTTCTCTTAGGATAGAGTTGATTTTTGAATTTTTTTGGTTTAACTTAGCATGGCCACAATTATGGATAAATTGTGAATTTATATGTTGTGAAACACAACTGGATATCTACATGGTTTAACATTTGTCAGTGTAATATTTGTCTAGCTTAATTATATACTGTATCTTTATCATACTCTATTTACACATTACTTTTATTTTTATGGTAACTTATAGAAATGCCTCGTAAAGGCAAACATTCAAAAAAGAGAGGATCACATGGCATATCAAGTTTGACGCCTCAAGCATCGTCTCAAGGAAATTCCACATATGTGGAGCTGCCATTACAACCTTCACCAGCACTCCAATCTTCTGCTCCTGCTTATTCCACTGCTATTCCACGGTCAATTCCTACAGCTCAAAATCTGGTTTCAGCATCGGTTGAACCACCGCGTTGTATGTCATGGATCTTTGATTTCCCAAGCTTAAATCAATTTGAACCTTTTGTTTTTGTTCAACTCAATTGCATGGTCACAATTAGGGTTTAGTGTTTTGGTTCAAAACAATTAGGATTGATATGATGTGAAACACAATTGAATATATGCCTGGATTTATATTTGTATGGTTTATTTTACATTTAATCATATTATATTTGCATGGTACTAATTTTAATTGGTAACTTGTAGCATTGCCTCGTAAAGCCAAGCTTTCACGAGAGAGAGCATCTCTTGGCATATCAAATTTGATGCCCAATGCTTCATCTCGTGGACATTCATCATATGTGGAACCACCGCCACAGCCAGCAAAGGTGGCACAATCTTGTGCTCCTTCTATTACCCTTGTTCCACCGTCAATTCCTACAACTCAGAATCTGGTTTCACCATTGGATCCACCATTGCCTAGTACATCACTGACCTTTTTTTCTTAGGATAGAATCAATTTTGAATTTTTTTGGTTTAACTTAGCATGGTCACAATTATGGATTTATATGCTGTGAGACAAATCTACATGGTTTAATATTTGTTGGGGGCATAAATATGTTTTTAGTCCCTTAAATATGAGGTAAATTTGCTTTTGATCCCTCAAATTTAAAATTATTTTTTTTAGTCCCGATAATTTTAAAAAAATAAAAATCTTTAGTTCTTCTGTTCAAATGTTTTTAGTAAATATGTCAAATATTGTCTCGTAAAATTCACCTACTAGTGTTTTTATTAATGCAATCATCGTATTAAACTCATATGATGTTATATAACTATCTCAATTTATCAATATTAGTTATCTTACTGGTAGTGTGATGGACTAAAACACATTTTCTTTTTTAAAATTACATAAAGACTTAAAAGATTAATTTTAAATTTGAGAGATCAAACATAAATTTATCCTTCATTTGAGGATTAAAAATATATTTAAGCCTAATATTTGTCTAGCTTAATTATACATTATATGATTATCATATTGTGTTTGCACGGTGCTAATTTTACTTTTGTTTTTATGGTAACCTGTAGCAAAGCATCGTAAAGCCAAACATTCAAAAAAGAGGGGATTTCATGGCATATCAAATTTGATGTCCCATACATCATCTCAAGGACATTTGACACATGTGGAGCAGCCACTACAGCCTCGAGAGTTGTCATATTCCTATGCTCCTACTATGTCCCATATTTCATCATCAATTCCTACAGCTCAAGATCCACTTTCACCATCGGATCCCCCATCATTCAGTACAATACCAACCTTTGCCCCTCCATGCTAGAATCAATTTTGAATTTTTGTTTTGATTTCATGTTGCATGGTCATAATTATGGGTAAACTGCAAATTTATATCTCATGTAACACAGCTAAATATATGCATGGATTAATATTTGTATGACATTATATTTCCATGGTACAAATTTTTCCTAGTTTTTTGGTTAAGTGTAGCAATGTATCACATTATATTTGCATGGTTCTAACTTTTTCTTTATTTTTTGGGTTACTGGTATCAGTGCCTCCTAAGAATGTATTTTCTGGCATATTAAATTTGATGCGTCATGCTTCATGTCAAGGACATTCCATACCCACGGAATCTCTACAGCAGCCTTCAAAATTGGCACAACCTTGTGCTCCTACTACCACTGATATTCCACCATCATTTCCTACAGCTCAAGATCTGGTTTCACCGTCGAATATACCATCATGCTGTATGTCACATACCTTTGTCCAGGATAGATTAAGCTTTTTTTTATTTTTTATATATTTTAGTTTATCTTTGTTTCATGGTCGTTGTGATGGATATACATGGATTATATGCTACAAAAAACAACTGAATATCTACATGGTTTATTTGCATTGTATAAATTTTATTTTATTTTTTGGTAACATGTAGCAATGCCTCGTAAATCCAAACGTTTAAGAAAAGGAGTGTCTCATAGCATGTCAAATTTGATGCCTCATGCTTCTTATCAAGGGTATTCAATACCTATGGAGCCGCTACTACAGCCTCCAGAGTTGGCCCGAGCCTGTGCTTCTCCTGCATCTTCAATTCGTGTAACTCAAGATCCAGTTTCACCATCTGATCCACAATCACATACTGATCCTGTTTCAGCATCTGATCCATCATCAAATCCTCTGACTCAAGATCCAGTTTCACCATCTGATCCATCATCGCATAGTAGATCAGACACCTTTGTCCTCCCATATGCTCCAACTCAACAACCCCTTGCCCCGTATTATCGTCCTTTTAGAGGACGACAATGGAATGTACAAGCTATAGGTAATAACAATTTTACTTGATTGGTGATCATTATATTTTCATTTGTGCTAATTCTGTGGACTTTTGATAGATGAACATGGAAATACAAAAGAGATTCAAGTGACAAAACCAGGTGTGTTTGAGATGCCTCCTGGTCAACGCATAGTAGTGCCATTTGATGGACAATTACGAGCCTATGGAGAAGCAGCAACACTTCTTTCTGGAGCTTGTGGACGAATTGTTACTGACTCAAAAAACATCCCCATTAACTTTGATAGTTGGCCAAAAGTGCCGAAATCATACAAGGATGATTGCTTCAACATTTTGAAGGTATCCATAAGCCTAACATTAGTTTTTATTGCATTGTTCTTTTTTTACTTATACTGTTCTAACATGCTCTTCTTTTTCTTTTTAGACAAAATTTCATTTTCAAGCCTCTGAATCAGTTGCTAGGCGTTATTGTTTACTTACCATGTCGAGAAAGTATAGAAATGGGAAGCTGAAGTTGTGGACTCATGCTTTTGACCCTTCATTATCAAGAGAACAGCTGATTGCTAAAGCCCCTTATGGTATTCCAAATGATCAGTGGTTGTCATTTATTGACAATCATTTGAAGCCAGAGTATCAGGTAGTTTTAAGTTTTTAACATATACTGTTTACCATTAATTTTATATGAACATGCATTTCAATTAGTAACTTGCTCATATTATAGGAGTTATGTCGGAAGAATGCTGTAGTCAGACAAAGGCAAACAGTTCCACACACTAGTGGGGCTAAACTTTTGTCTAGGAAACAACATGAGATGGTAAGTGACACTGGTTCTATAATTGGGTCTTAACGAGTAGTTATTATTGTTGTTCATTTGGATTTATATGGGTCATATATATTAGGAATTAGAGCTTGGACGTTCTGTTAGTCGAGTAGAATTGTACCTTGCAACTCACAAGAAAAAAGATGGATCCTACGTCAATGAGGAGGCAAGGACTATTGGGGTAAGTTAAATGTGAAATTCTGCTACTTCAACCGAAACAAAAATTTAATTTATTAGTCTTCAATTTGTAATTTTTATATTGATTGTTATTGTCAAAATCAATTTATTGTGTGAACGTGCATTTTTGGCTGTGGGGTTTAAATTAACTTTTGGGTGGTTGTAGTCTTTTTGTGCTGTTCAATGTTGTGAAAGTATTGGTAACCAGCTTTCAACATGATGTTTGGTGTAATGCTTTTGTAGAAAAAGCACAATTGTTAATGAAAGTTCCATTGTTAAAATCTTTTTTCATGCTACGATGAAGCAAAGACTTATTAACTGATTAAACTTTGGTTAATACAGCTTAACTGCAACATGTGTACTGTGGTATACCCTTTTCTGCAAGGAGACAGATCATTGTTACTGTTTTAAATTGCTAAATCTACATTGCTAACCTATAAAAAAATTACACCATAGATCACATAACATCTTGCAGCTTATTCAGGCTGACATCAAATTCTAAAGAGAAGTGAGAATCATAATGTTTTTGAAACACATTTTACATTATGTAGGATATGATGCCTGTTGTAATTAGAGGAAAAATCTTCCTAATCAGAGAAAATATCTATAGAATCTTCTAGGATATTTTTCAGAATATTTTTCCTTATTTCCTTATTTTAGAAGATTAGATTGTTACAAATAGGTATAAGGAAAATGTAATTCGTATGAATAATAATAATAAAATTATTCTTCTTTTTCAAGTTGGTATCAGAGCTCCCGATCTTGGGAGCTTCGTTTCCGTTGAAAACAGTAGCCACCGCCGTCGCTGTCCGGCCACTGCGGCTGCCACCGTAGCCGTTGGGGTCGTTGATAGGGCAGAAAGGTGTGCCCAACTCCGGCGAATACAACGCCGGAATTCGCTTCGGAAAAAACGCCGCCACGCGCTGTCACCGTCACCGGCGCGTGTAGCCCACGCGCCTAGCTCCGGCGAGACCCACTCGCCGCCGCCGCCACAGAAAGAGTCGCTGGAGCCTTCTGAATCCATTCCACGGGTCAGTGACGTCTCATTTGGCGCAGATTTGAGTAGATCTGAGTTTTTAGTTTTGTTCCTTTTCCGGTGACGTCCCACGCTCCTAGCTCCGACGAGGCCCACTCGCCGCTACTGTCACAAAACTGGTTGCAAGAGCCTCCTAAGTCCGTTCCACGGCTCACTCTTATTTGGTGATATCCACTTTTAAGATCTATTTTGGAAAATATATTAGCACCATGTAACTCATCAAGAATATCATCAAGTCTAGGGATTGGGTGCCTGTACTTGATTGTTATGTTGTTAATAGCCCTACAATCACATCACATTCACCAATTTCCATATTTCTTAGGTACTAACAACACAGGCACAACACAGGGGCTCAAACTTTTTTGTACCCAACCCTTATCTAATAATTCTTGAACTTGGTTCTCTATCTCCTTGGTTTCTTGTGGATTTGTCCTATAAGCAGGCCTATTTGGTAGACTTGCCCCAGGCACAAAATGAATTTGATGTTCTATACCCCTAAAAGGTGGAAAGCCTTTTGGGCCCTCACTAGGAAATACATCATCAAATTCTTTTAATAATTGTGTAACACCAAGGGGTAAAGAACTAGGTTCAAGATTTAAATTATGACATTTAAGCATACTTCTACAAAGAAGAATATAAAAAAGTTTTTCAACAAGAAGTGTTTGTTTCAAATTATTTTCTTGTTGAAGTCCTTCTAACGGAAGATGAGTTTCTTTCTTCTTCTTCTTTGATGATTTATGCTTCTTTTCTTTTTTAATCAACTTTTTTTCTTCTTCTCTTTTTAGTTTCATTTGAACTTGATCCTCAATCACTTGTGAAGGAGACAAAGGATGAAGTATAAATTTTTTTCTTTATGGGTGAAAGTTATTTCATCAATGAGACCATTATGCATGGTTTTCTTGTCAAATTGTCATGGCCTCCCCAACAAAATATGGCAAGCTTCCATTGGAATTGTGTCACATACCACATGATCTTTATAGTTACCAATAGAGAACTTAACTTTCACTTGTTTATCCACAATAATATCCCCATCTTCATTTAACCAATGAAGTTCATAAGGCTTGGGATGGGGAATTGGAGTTAGATCTAGCTTCTCAACCAACCTTGTGCTACAACAATTACAACATGATCCACTATACACAATGAGAGAACAAGATTTATCTGAAATTTTACACCTTGTGTGAAAAATATTCTCTCTTTGTGAGATATGAGATTCATTAGGTTGACTTCCTAGAAGCCTTCTAATCATCAACAATTGACCATCATAAGGATAAGCATTTTCGACTTGATGGCTTTCATCACTAGAATCACTTTCACTTGTAGTAGTAGAACTAGTTTCATCATGACTACTATAAATGTCTTGTCCTCTTAAAATCATGATTTTCTTGTTAGGATATTGAGAAGCTATGTGACCCCTCCCAAGACATTTAAAGCATTTAATGTCACTGGATTTACTACTAAAAGTGATAGCATTTTTATTTTTCTCTTTTTCTTTATCTTGACCTTTGCCAAATTTTTTAGAGGAATCATATTTAGAAAATTGTCCACCCCCCTTGTAGTCTTTCTTAATAGAAGAAGAAGTAGAGTGAGACTTGTCTTTCTTGAAAGAATTTTTTCTTAAATTTTTTTGTTCCACCCTTATACAAAGTTGGACCAAATCATCAAGGTCCCTATAAGGAAGTAACTCCACTCTATCTCTTATGTAAAAATTTAGACCACTTAAAAATCTAGCAATGGTCAATCTTTCTTCTTCCCTAATACCAGCCCCCATTAAATACAACTCCATTTTCTGTCTATATTCTTCCACACTCATATTCTTTTGTTGGGGTCTTTGGAGCTTATCCATAAGCTCCCTTGATGGCATCCTAGCTTGCATGAACTTGAGATGATCAACAAAGAATAGGATGCCTTCTCCAAGGATCAAGTTCTTCAAAGGTGGCACAAGGTTTTAGGGTGGATGATGATGGAATGGACGAAAATGGAGGTTGGGTAGAAGGTGTTTGAGGAAATGCTTGAGAAGGGTACTCAGGGTTGGCTCACTTCATGATGATGAAGGCCACTTCTAGGGTTGTTTCTCTCAAGGTGGAGATGGGAGGGAGGTGGCCGAATTAGCCAAGGGTGACTAAGGAAAGATATAAAGGCACAAAAGGCTCTCTTTATATTCAATATCCAAAGTATTTACAAGGTGTGGTGCCTAGGGTATTTATAGGAGTGGGAGGCATCTAGGGTTGCATTTAGGGTGCCAAATGCACACCAAATGAAACCCAAATTAACCCTAGATGCAACTTGGTGGCCAAGGATGGAATCTTTGGGTTTAGTTAGGCTACATCTAGGTGCATGATAAGACAAAGTGTGATATCATCATAATGAAGTTGAGAGTGAGGACTTATCCAAGATAGCTTTAGGCCAAGTTATCTAAGTATGATTTTTGGTTGTATGAAGTGAGTTTTCTAGGTCTTTTAAATTTTAGTGGTGGTATAATGTAGATCTATCTAAGGTAGAAGTTCTACTTAAGTGGGAGATACCAAAGTTAGTTAGTGAAGTTAAGAGTTTTCTTATATTAACTTATTATTATAGGAGAGTTATTGAGGAAATTTCTAAGATAACATTATCTTTGACTGGATTGACCAGGAAGAGAGAGTTGCCTTTATGTGGGATAGTAAATGTGAGAGTAGGTTCCAAACTCTTAAGAAAAGATTGGCTAGTGTTAATATTACCAGATTTTAGTAAGTCTTATGTGGTATATAGTGATGCTTCTAAGATGGGTTTGATGGAGTGTTGATGCAAGAAGGAAGGGTAGTAGCTTATGTTTCTAGGCAATTGAAAATTTATTAGAGGAATTACCTTACCCATGACTTTGTGCTATCTAACCTTTATTTCTGCACGTGGAATCAAGTGAGATATTTCTCACTCCCTTGTTGTTCTTTGTATGTGTTTAAATTATGTTGCAGGTGTCATCAGCATGAGGATGTTGGTGATGAGGCTTAGGCTTCAGTTGGGCATGCTCTGATAGGATATGTGACATCGGGGCTTAGCTAGCTTTAGCATTGGAGTTTCATTACTGTTATTGTGTTTCGGAAAGATTGATGTTTTATTTTGTCATCATTTCCGCATTAGACTACGATTTGCGAAATATGAATGTGAACTCTCTATCTATGTGTTTTGAAACCTTATTTTTAAGAAAGTTTTATTTACTCAGGAATGTAATTTATATTTATTGTGTATTATGTATGTGGGGTAGAGGTGTCACAATGATTGTATAACCTTACTATTGATAACTCTCTTATAATTTATACGTTTATGCCTATATATAATGTTTTCTCTCATTACCACACCACAAAAATGGGCCGATCTATGTTATGTTTTCAGTCACCGTTGAATGATTTTTCATGTAAAGGTTATGATTTCAACCTTCTGTTTCAAAATTAGTCGCAGTGCCAGTTCTCCTTCAACTTGTACCATTTTGTCTTATTTTTCTTAGTGTTCTTTACATGTCAAATGTCTTATCATTGCAAATTGCTTTGAGTGTACTTTTCTACCTTTACTTCCTGCTCTAATCCCTTGGAATTTATAACCCCATCATCTCTCCCTTTCAACATTTGACCAATCAAAATTGTTAAGGTTCTCTGCCTTTGATTGTACTTAATAATTATTGTCACATTATATATATATATATATGCACAAGAATAATTTTTTTTAAAGGCTTTAACTATTTGTTTGTCATTATTTTAATTTCATAAATATTTTTTACATGCACAGGAGAAGTTGACAGAAGAAATTAGTAAGTCTGCCAATTCTACAGAAATTGCAACTAATGATGCCCTTGCCAAAGTGTTAGGACTAGATCACTCAGGTCGTGTGCGTTGCTTAGGCTTAGGAGGTCTTCACAGTGTTGCGTTTCAATCCTCTGTAAGATTTAGTGACGTAGCTGAAAGTTCTCGACTGAAAGAGGAGGTTATTAGTTTGAAGACCAAGTTAGCAGCTTCAGAGGAAAATGTCAAAACATTACAAACTGTAATGCTTACATACATACAAATGAAGGAAGGACATATCCCTGCCGAGTTGGGTGCTTTGTTTGATACTACTAATCAAGCGGTAATCATTTTTATACTTTTTGTGTTGAACTGAATAAAGTTATCGACACATGAGTGGAAGTTTAGTATATTATTATACACATCCTCTTAGCCATGCTAACATGACGCTGCAATTGTCTTTCATAGGATGAAAGTAGCGGACAAGATATGTCAACATCAGAGAGTGGATCTTCATTAGCTAGTAATCATCGTTAAAATGATGCATTTACATAAACTCATGTGTACTTAAGTTTGACACTTTAGTTTTAACATGCAGTTTGTAATTTTTTTTCTATATGGATTTTCTCGTTGTTGGAGATCCCACATTATTAAAATATAAGACTATGATAATGTATATATGTGGGGGACAATCTCACTTTACAAATTTATTTTGTAAGATTGTATCAAAGCTTATTCCAATGGTTATTGATTGTTGTTGACATATCATGTCTACTCACTGTTTGATTGTTATCAGGCCGATTGATGTTCAGTATCTCAAATTTCATATTTGAGAGAGGGGTGTCGGAGAATGTCACATTGTTTAGAAATAAAGTTTTAATAATATATATTAGTTGGAGAATAATTCTCATCTTATAAATTAATTTTGTAGAGTTAAATTCAAACTCATTTTTTTAGACTTGCAGTTGTTAATGGAGATCTATTTTGTGAACTTTCTAAATCCTATTATATTTATTAATTATGATACATAAATTGTTATATTATTTGAAAATATTTTGAATTCAAATGATAATTTAGATTGTTCCATGTGGTCCGGAAAAATAAATAATTTTGGTGACTAAATAGATATGATTGATTATCTATAACAATATATAAAAGATATTCTCATATTTTATCTCTCTTTTTTCTAGACTATTTTACTCCTAATGGATTTTATTGTTTTCGTATGATTAAATAAAAAATATCTGCATTCATGTACAAATGGGAATACAAATTTACATGTTCGTTTTATTATTTTAACATTGACTGAATGTTATTTTAACATTGACTAAAATCACATAAGGCCATAAATCATACAGGTAACCACCCATTATTCCACTTTTTCTATTTTTTTTAAACACTTTTTTCTTTTTATTTATGATTTTGATTTGATACTGAAAAAACAAATGGGTGAAGGCATGACAATTGTGAATGCTAGGGTCATGGATTTCATATTTAAAGCCAGCTAATTTAAACTTCTGAATTTTCATAATCTTTCACAAATATTGAATTATTTCTATTTTGATTTTTAATTTCTGATCTTCGAAGTAAGGAGCTGTTTAAAACCATCTTAACAGTTCATACACCTGATTCTAAAGTTGTTTAAAACCATCCTAATAATTCATAGACACCACCTGATTCTATATTTATGATTGAAAAATCTTTCTTTGTTTAATATGGATTACCCCTAAAATTTATTGCAGAATAGTCGATAAACATCAAAATGGTGTTTGAAAATTGCTTTGTGTTGAACGGAGGATCAACACTTAACAAAAAAATGATAGTGTTTTTCAAAGAATTGCAGGGTTTCACATCTTTATCTTTTACTTATTTGAAGTTCTTTGCAATTCTTAATGCACTTAACTTCTATGTGGAGTTCCTGACTATTTTATTTTCTTCGTTTTTCTTTCCTTCTCACTATACAATAAAAGAAAATTTATAATATTTACTAATTATTGAACTATGTTTTTCATGAATTAGCCGAGGGTAAGTGCTAAACAAAAAAAAAGTGGAGTTGGAACTTTATGTCAATTACTCATATCTCATCCACGTTTGTAATTTATTTTTCTTTTGGCAACGTACCTTGAATTTATACGTACCAAGGATACGTTGCATCATGTTAGTATATACTCTAACCCACCTTTAACATAATTACTAATTATTATTGTTAAATTATTTTTCACAAGAAAATAGTGGAGGGTAAGGATTCAAGCGAGGAATAAGTGTCAATATTTGCATAAGATTTGTCTCGAAATTATGACGCAAGTAACTATTTTTTTAGTTTTTTTATTGTGTTAAACTTTTTAAAATCTACAAGTAATCAGTTTTCAATAAATCCATAGTAAAATCTTTTTCTTACCAACTTGATAGGTGATTTTGTATATCAATTTTGCAACTACTTTCAAAGAAAATATGTTTTGAAATAGTAAAAAATAACATCATGATGTAGAAAAAGAGTTATGACTTATGAGATATACATGCTATTTAGCTAAAAACTTTTTTCCTATAAAAGTAGAAATATTCAGCCACGCCTTAACTTGTTTTGCACATACTCTTCTTAAATAATCTTCTAATTATCTTATTATAGTCAAATATTTTTTCTGACTAAGTAATCAACTATTTTTAAGTTCCTCTTTTATTGAATTTTTAAAACTAATCATTTTAATACCAAAATTTTGAAACTGCTCATTTAAAACCATTTATGAATTTTAAACCGATCTTTAAAAACTATTCTTACAAAAATCAAATAAATCCACCAGGAAAAGAAATTAATTTGGAAAGCAAAGCAAAAAAAGACAAATAACATTAAAAATTCTTAAATTAACATTCAAAGATAATCCAAAATAAACTAGCTAATATATCTGCAACTTGGTTAACTTTCCATAAAACATGAGGCCAACTAAAATTGGCCCCATAACATCGAAGGATAGAATACCTTGAACCAAACTATAACACGAACAGTAAGAACCACAACCTTGTTAAAGAAGAGTTATTGCATTCAAAGAGTGAGTCTTCACCAAGAAACTTTTGTACCCTCTATTCCAAACAAGAGATACCCCCAATATATATGGTCCATAGTTCTACTTGAACCAGAGAGCAAAAGCTAATATTGGGAGCAAAGACAAACAACACCACACCCCTATGATCACGCAACACTCCCCTCACAGCTGATTTCCTAGAATTGAGGTAAACCAACATCACAATTAAGCTTAAAACTGCAAATGAAAAATAAATGTTGCTTGTCTCTAGGAACCAACCTACAACACACCTTCTAAGCACATGATCATTTTCAGGACTGTCACCACATCTCACACAAGCAGAATCCACTGTCAAATGCCTCCTACATCTCTCCTCATTGGTTAACAAGGAATTAGCAGCCACTTTTATACCCATGTGTCTCCCCCCATAGAAAACTATCCACTTCATCACAAATAGACACTCGGAGTTTAACTAACTGTATGACATAAGAAGGTAATGCTTGTAGCACCGACTTTACTTTGTTCTTATAACAACTCACATAATCCTTTACTTTTCTCTTTCACACTCTCAGCTAAAACAAATTCATGAAAGAAGTTCCACTCTTTCTTCTTCACCATTCATTTCTTCACTTTTCACATATTCAACACATGTTCACCCTTGAAGACACTAAAACTGACACACATGTCAATACATTTAACCTTTTGTTTTACTCATATCATTTTTCACACCATTACTTTTTTCCTTTCTCTTTCCATTTTTTCCCCCGGATCTATGCGTAAACTTCATTTCGATGTTAACTGATATTTTTCTTAGAGACAAATAATTACGTGCTTCAACATTATGTGGGAAATAAACTCACACACACAATATTTTGTTATATCATTATTTATAGGATACATGTTATATCACATAAATACTTGTTTAAGATTTATAAAACTAATGCTTTTTAGTCCAGTACTATATAACCGGCCCCATGCTCAATAGGAGCACATTTTAGTTCTTCTATGTTAGATTTATTTTTATCATTTTTATTGTGGTTGTGATCAAATAAACGAGTGAGACATTTTTTTATTGTTATTATAGAAGTTCTTTTAAAAAAAATTAATAACAAAATCGAGCTTTTTCTTTCATAAATTCATTGCAAATAAATAATTATTTACTTACAGTGACTTTTATTGGTGGTTTATTTCTTATTATATTTTTTTTAATAAATTGACTTATTTCCATGGAAGTCTCGATCTCACATTTTATCTTTTAATCCAGAGAATCTATATAAAAAAATGGCATGGACACATGTTTCATGATTTATAAAACAATATGAATAGGTGATGAACCGGAGGTTAGATTTTAGTTTTGATTTTAATTCATATGAGAGAAGACATTCGGAGAGTTTCATGACCATTGTGATTTTTAATGCTACATAGAATAATGTGTGTAGTTACGTGTTGGGAAATAATAGTATAATCGCCTGGTTAAAAGATAGTATTTTATATGTGAAAATTTAATAAATATAAAAATTTAGTTGTAATATTTTCTGATTAAAAAATTAATTGTAATTCATATTATTTTTAATATTAGAACACTTGAAAATATAATATCGAGTAATATTTGATATATTATTAATTACTTTTTTTTCAATGCAAAACAAAATGTCAATACTTTTTAAAGTGTGATTATTTCATTGATAAACTACACTAAATTATATGAAATGTTAAATGTCTTATATTTATAAATGATATTTTGAGACTTATTTTATAGCTTTTTAAATCAAAAAAGTTATTGATGTTGTATTCTATAAAACATTGAGAATTATATATTGATGATGGATATTTTGTAACATCATTTTTTTTTAAAAAAAAGTGATTAATAAAATAATTATATTTTATGAATTAATTAATCTAATTAATTGGGTTAGCAATAATTAAAATATTTTATTAAATAAAATAAAAAGAAAAAGGTTGTAGGTGGAGAAAGGAGTTTGTTGGGTTGGACTCTAAGCTCAACTTGGAGGCTTTTAAAAACAAGGATCAACTTGGAGGCTTTTAAAAACAACAAGGATTAGGTTTACATTATATATCCTTCTAAAATCTTAACAACAATTGTAGAAGAGAACTTAAAGGAGGTCACTAAATAAAACACAAAGTAGTGGTTGAGACTTTGGAGAACAATTGGGTCACGGGATCATCACCCAAGGTAAGGAGGAGTGAGAATGTCTCATTCATGGACATGTATGAGAGGTATGGGTAGTGGGGGGATCCCTTAGTTTCGTAGGTCTCTATTTGAATTTCTATAGGTGTTTATTTATAAATTTGTATTATGAGTATAATGACCCAACATGTTACTACACTTAGTACAACATAATTACTGTGCAATGGAAAATATAAAGAATCTACTAATTAGGGTTATCATGCAACAATAACTAAACATCCATGCAATGAGTATATGTATAAGGTGTAGAAAATATAAAATAGTTCCTACCAATTTTGACTTGAAAACATAAATCCCTTAAGGCGTTACAACAAAACCCTATACAAATATACTATTAGAAAAGATGACTGATTCAAGAGAGGAGTGAATTAGATTTTTAGTAATTCTTTTCATTTTTAATGGTTCAAACTTTTTCAAAAACTTTCCAATGAACCAAATTTGTTTTCAACCTATAAGAGATGTTATGTTAAAAACACTTATTAATGCAGGTTTAGATTCTATTCTTTCTATATGCAATGTTCATGAGACATATATAACACATAATAACAAGCATGTTATCAAATTTTCAAGAATGTAAAATACAAGATTAAGTGTAAGACAACAATCTATATTGATTCAACAACATTCATTTGTGCCTACATCTACTCCCCAATGGGTACGATTAATTAATGAATAGAGAACATTATTGATGACACAATTGCTAGTGAGCTCGATCAATCGGAGAAAGTGAGAATCGTAGGCCACTATGACATGACCTAATGGGAGGCAAAATGAACTTCAACAGCATATACTTTAAACTCATACTTGATTTTAAATTAATTATACTAAAATTTTAAAGATAAATAATTAATATTAATTTTTAAATTTTCAATTAATAAAATAATTGACTTATGAGATATATTGTATACACACTTAAGATACAAAAAAAAAGTCCTATATCATTAAAACAAGAAGAGAGAAGTAAAAATATATAAACCATACACATACTCCCTTAGTAATTAGTTAGAGGCCTTTTGGATGGTGATAAAAAAGAAAAACTATAAAAGTGAAAAGTCAAAGTGGATAATATTTATACCAATGTGAAGTTATGTGTCAAAATACCCTGAAATGTCTAATAAAAATAATATCCTCTTGATAAAAATATATCCTCTTAAACAAACCAACAAAATAATCCTAGCACTTGGGTACTCATTCCAGTCCTGCTAAATGAAAATTTGTCTCGTACCCATTCCATACTTAAAGTGGTGTGAATTTTAGGGGGTATATTAGATTGAGATTTTGAAAGACTATTTTAGCTTGAAAAAGTTTTGTAGATTTTAATAGAGTTTAAAAGAATTTGAACGAATGTCATAACTTTTAAGTTTTTTTTAAATACTTCTAAAACATGAGTTTTAATCAAGACTTTATAATTTGGAATTTAATAGATTTTAGTAGATTTTTTTGATGGATTTGTATCATAAGATTTTAAAGGATTTTATGAATTTTACAGGAAAACATGGATTTGTAAAACACATTTAATGCTACAATAATTAAAAAAAATATAACATAACTAATAAAGAAAAATAAAACCAACACATTTTTTTTCTATCTTTTGACAAATAATTGACTCTAAAGTCATCTAACTAACCTTTCTCTACATATTTAAAGCTATATTATGATCTTCATTAACTGATATATAGCACTAAAGGTGAAGATTCATCCACTGATTCAATTAGAAATTTATCATAATAACATTCTTTCTGAAGAATTTTATGTGGTAATACACATGCTAATACAATTCTAACTTGTGTGTTAAATAAAAATGGAGGCAATGACTTAAAATTTGTGAAGTGTGATTTAAAAATATCAAATATCCTCTCGATTACATTTCTTAAAGATGCATGACATAAATAAAACACTTCATTTTCATTTTGAGGGTCATTATATGACTTGCAAAATCTTGGATATCATGAATGAGAGAGACGAATAAAAAGAGAAAGATGAAATGAGATAGAGAATGAAAGAAGAGCAAGAGAGAGAGGAAAAGCTAAGATAGAGAAGAGGAGAGACCGAGAGAGAAGTAAGAAAGGCTAAAGAGAAAGAGAATATGAGACAGAGAAGAGAGAGAAACAAGAAAGGCAAGAGAAAAGATTAAGGAGAAAGAGAGAGAGAGAGAGAGAAAAGAAAGAAAAATGAGAAATACACTACAAAAAAAATGTTAATTTAGCCACCGAATTTAGCGATCAACTTTTTTTCATCGCTAATAGCGACATAATTAGCTATCAAATCCTTGACAAAGTTTAATCTTTACACATTTATGATAGAACACTTTTTTATAAAAAAAAATTAAAATCCTAATTTGGCTTTTTATAATATTTTTTATTTCAATTTAGTCTCACTTTAATTTTTAGTTTCAATTTGACCCCTAATAATTTAAATTAGTGCAATGTCGGACTTCCGTCTAAATTATTTAAACGGAGTTAACTGTTGGCCACGTGAATGCCTAGGTGATTTCCGTTCCAGATGCAAAATTAACCCACCACAAGTGCAGTAGAACGGGTCATTCTGAAACCAGAACGAACCGTTCTGGTTTTAGAAGATTCAGAACGGGTCGTTCCAAAATGCCAACCACATACATACGTTGAACAAAATGCCACAAAGTGGTTCAAAAATTGAAAATAAAAATTCATAACATAACATAAATTCAAAGACAGAAATATGGTTCAGAGACTGAAAACAAAATTTCATAACATAACATATACTAAGAAAGTTCAATGAAATTACTGAGAAGGGAAATCATCTAGATAACGCTGAAGGTGCCAATAATACATCTTATCCACTAGATAACACTGAATGGCTGACATGATATCAACATTATCTACCTGCACATGTGGTTGTGTGATGAAATATTGGTCTTGTATGTCCTCTTCCTCTACTTCAGGTTGTACCTCCTCAAGAACAAGTTGTTGTTGCTGGGGTAAATCGGTCAATGACTTCAAGGGAAAATACTATGTCGTTTCATCCTTGTCTATATTATGTCGATTTGGTAGTAAGATGTTCACTCCAGTTTGAATAACAATGAAATAAAACCTATCACCATTGTCCTTAGTGATGTACTGCATTGTCCTTAACGGTACATTGTATAGCCCAAATGTTTAGCACTTGAAGTTATCAATCCCCATTGACAATATTACTAAATCCAGTGTTTGAAATGTTTTATACCTTGGATTTTTTTCTTGCACGATTCACAACCGTGATTTAGAATCACGGGCGTGAACTATATTCATCGACATTTGTGTTTGGCATTCTGGAACAGAACGGACCGTTCTGGTTCTAGGTGAATTAAAGAAATTTGGCATCCACCTAGACATCCACGTGGCATTCACGTGGATGTCACGTGGCCAACAGTTAATTCTATTTAAATAATTTGGATGGAAGTCCGACATTTTACTAATTTAAATTATTCGGGACCAAATTGAAATAAAAAATTAAAGTAACACTAAATTAAAACAAAAAATATTATAAAGGACTAAATTAGAGTTTTATAAAAAAAAAAATAAACTAAATCAAGAGTGTACGATACGCACGATGAGTAGCTAACAATCTACTGAATTGTAAAAACATGTTGCCATGAATGTTTGACAGTTTAAATTTAATCTCATTTTCACACTAGAAAAAACCTTTTTTATTAGTTGTTATGCAACATAAGCCATAATCTCAAGAGTAAAAAGAACTTGTATCCTTAAAATTTAAAAGATTAAACAGAAATTTCTTAGAACTTGTATCCTTAAAATTTAAAAGATTAAACGGAAAGTTCTTATTATTAAAGAAACGTGTCTACAAAATTATTCATAATTTAATTCACAGTACTCTTTCTGTTTTTTTTTTTTAATGATCATTTAAGGTTTTATACCGGACTTAAAGAAATTATTGATATTTTAGTTTTTAAAAATATTTATTATTTACTTTCCTATTTTATCTTTTATTTTTTTTTACATTTTTAAGACTATTGAACTATAATCTACTCCATTAATTATTAATGTATTGATTACATGTAAATTGTAACCTATTATATAAATGCACATTAATTTTATATGAGTAATTAGAGAAAAAATAGGTAGACATTAAAAATAAATACAAATATTGTTTAATAAATATATATCAATTATGAAAGATAAAATTGAAAAAAAAAAATTAATAAGTTATTAATTTTAGTAAAATAACAATAAAAAAATAACGAATTCTTAAAAAAAAAGGAAGGAGTATATAACTGACTATATGCTATTCAACTTGCACAGAAGGGGAAACCAAGCAAATCGAAGGTTAAAAGTATCACGAATTTCAACACACAGCTATTTTAAAAATATAAAACCTTTAAATGGATGACGAAAATTCTGCATACCTACACTTGTAGACATACTTTATTGCACTATTTGACAAATTTTAACACCACTGACTCTGTAAGAGACATGTATATTCAGGGATTAAGAAGATTGTATGCAGTTAAATTTAAAGACTTACTGCACACTCCAGGAATTTATCCAACAATTTCTTAATTTTGGAGACTAATATAACATTGTTTTATAAATTCAAGAATTAAAATGATTGTTTATACTCCAAATAAAGCATAATTCAACCATAATAATCACATCTCTACGTAGTCAAAAAGTGAAGGGACATGAAAAGTGTTGAACAGAGGATGTTGGAGCCCACTAGGAACCAGCTAAGAAAGTGTGTGGAAATTCAATACACTCTGCATCATAGCATATGCATTTTTGCTGTCTAATTCGTCTTTCATACTTGACAAATAGTTTAAACATTATATTGTTCTCTATTCTCTGTTCCACCCAAGAAGCTCCGGTGTTCTTCTCTGTTGCAAGAAGTCCGATTGGGTATGTGGTAAGGTCTTTTTCTCCGTTGCAATTTTGCCTCAATAGAAATATTAAATTATAAAAGGACATGGCTAATTTATTTCTTGTTGTCCTCCCATCTTTTAGCTGGTAGGGAATGAGTTAAGAATGTGAATGCTGACTGAGAAAATAGGTTATGGAGTTCAAAACTTGAGTTTTGTGGTTGTCTAAAATGAAATAGAACTGTTATTTTATATAAAATATTTCGCGTGTTTAAAGTCATTCATCTATGTTCTTTGTTTTTTTTACCAACCTCGCTTTGGATGTTGCTACTCATTTTTTTTTTTTTTTTTTTTTTTAAGCTGATACTTTTTTTAAGGGCACGAGCTTCAAATTGCGGTTCAGACTGGCCATCTTACTATTTCTAAGGGCACGAGCTTCAAATTGCGGTTCAGACTGGCCATCTAAATTTGTCTTTTAATTTAAGGTAAGTGTACTTTCTCTTAATAGATTTGTGAATCTTAAATTATAAATTGGTTATTTTTTTTTTTTAATAAGATGAGGTGTTAAGCATGTTTTAATTGATGAAAGTATAAACTTGTAAATGCCTTGATTTATTGCTTGCTGCAATGTATGACTGGTTATGTTATTGTGAACATGTGATTTGTAGGTTTAAGTTCATTTATTTGATGTCTATGCTTTTCTCAGTGTTTAAGTTGTTTAAGGCTAAGTTAATGTTCTATCATCACTTATAATAATAATGCATGTTGGACTCCAACCATGTATTTCAGGTTATAACACATATTTCAAGTTTTATTTCCTGACCAATTAATATATGCTGTTACAAATTGGATTGTATAAGAATTCTAAGTCTTTCTCCTGTTCTAGTAATTTTGGTTTTTAAAGTCATAATTAGGGTTATGCATCTGAAAACCAAGCACCACTTGACCTATATAAAAGTTGAAATATAAAATATTCAACTTTCAATAACATACTAAATTCCATATTAATCAATACCGGTTTGTATTTAAGGCTGAGAGTATATTTTAAACAATTGGATTATTGAGTATATTTTACGTCATGTGTCAATTAGTTTATTAATAAATGTCAAAGAAATACTAATTTGAATCCAAAATGTAAACTTATTTTCTAATTACGTTGCTATTCACTTAATTTGAATTTTAAAAGTCACCATTATTTCATGTTTCTAAGTTTTTTCTTACATTTACTAGTTTACTAAACTTTTGTTATGTTCAAATGCTCTTTCAGCCTTTCCAGCAGCACAAAAGAATCCACTAATAAAGGTAAATATAATTACCAAGGATCAGAAAACTCAAAATTACACTTGCAACTTGGTAAACATTATTTATTCTTCTTTAGTTTTGAACTTTTTAATCTCATATTAGACAGATCTATAAATTATGAATAACAAATAATGAGACAACGTCAAGAACATATTGAAACAAAAAGTTTTTTCATTTCTTGAAAAGTATCATTCCGGCATTGCAGGTGCAGTACTTAGAATTCATAATGGATGAACAACAAAGAATCAACGTTGTTGGTTCTTCCTCCAACTCTTGTTCCAAATCTCATGATGTTTTTCTAAGCTTTCATGGTGAAGACACCCGTTGGAACTTCACAAGCCATCTATATGAAGCTTTGAATAAAGAGAAAGTCAAAACTTATATAGACGACCAACTTAAAAAGGGAGATGAAATTTCACCAGCGCTCATTAAAGCTATTGAAGATTCTCGTGTATCTATTGTCATATTCTCAGAGAACTATGCTTCGTCAAAGTGGTGCTTGGGTGAACTTAGTAAGATTCTGGAGTGTAGAGAAAAAAGTGGACAGCTTGTGATTCCTGTGTTCTACATGGTAGATCCAACTGATGTGAGGAAACAGGCTGGAAGCTACGAGCAAGCCTTTGTAAAACATGAGGGAGACCGCAGGTGCAAACAATGGAAAGCTGACCTAACTAAAGCTGCCAATTTAGTTGGGTATCACTCTAAAAATTACAGGTAAATAAAATGGATTGAGAGTTATTAAATTTTCTTAAGGTAAAAATGAGAAAGGCAATTCTGTGACTGAACCTGAATTCCTTTAGAATTTGTTTAACTTATATCATTTATTTCTTTGTTGTTGTTTCATATGCTAGGACTCAACCTGAATTCCTTAAGAAAATTGTTGAAGGTTTATTGGGAAATTTGGCTCCTAGACACCCAATCCATCTTAAAGGACTGGTTGGAATTGAGGAAAGTTTGGCAAAGATTGAATCATTACTAAAACTTGGGTCAAGCGAAGTTATAACCATTGGAATATGGGGTATGGGAGGCATAGGTAAAACCACCCATGCTACTGCTTTACGTGACAAACTATCTGATGAGTTTGAAGGTCATTGCTTTCTTACAGATATAGGGGAAAGTTCACATGAATTGATAACTTTACGTGAAAAACTATTTTGTAAGTTGCTAGGGAAGAAAGATTCTGATTTTAATCCATCGGACATAAGTAGGCTTCGATATAAAAAAGTTTTGATTGTGTTGGATAATGTGACTACCTCAGAGCAATTTGAAAAACTAATCAAAGAATATGATTTCTTGGGTCCAGGAAGTAGAGTTATTGTTACAACTAGAGATAAGCATATACTTGGCCCAAATGACAAAATATATGAAGTCCAAGATTTAGATTTTTCTCACTCCTTACAGCTTTTTTGTTTGACTGCTTTTAAAGAAAAAGTACCTAAAGATGGATATGAAGAACTGTCAAGAAGGGTGATTTCCTATTGCAAAGGTGTTCCTTTGGCTTTAAAAGTTTTAGGTACAAATCTTTTTTCAAGAAGTATAAAAGCATGGGAATCAGAATTGAGTAAACTTCAAAGCATTCCAAATATGGAAATTCACAATGTATTAAAATTAAGTTATGATGGCTTAGATGTTACTCACAAGGACATATTTCTAGACATTGCATGCTTCTTCAAAAACGAACCAAGAGGTTTTATAACAAGTGTATTGGAAGCTTTTGATTTCTTTCCAGAATTTGGGATAGAAGTCCTTCTAGATAAAGCTCTCATAACAATTTCAAAGTACAATCAGATTGAAATGCATGATCTGATACGGGAAATGGGTTGGAGAATTGTTCAAGAAGAATCTAAAGACATTGGAAGACGAAGTCGATTGTGGAAACATGAGGATGTGCTTGATGTGTTGAAACATAACAAGGTAAATGACAGGCGCAATTATTTCTATTGGATGATAGATTTATCTTTTTTTTGAAAATAACTAGTACGGAAACTTTCACTAACTATTGTAATTTATATTTGTTAGGGAACTGATGTTGTTGAAGGCATAGACTTAGATTTGTTTAAATTAACTAGGGATCTAAATGTGAGTTTCAATTCCCTTGCAAAGATGACTAACTTGAGATTTCTTCGAATACACGGAGTATGGATGTACGAGTGCAAGTATAATGTATACCTTACAAATGATCTCAATGAATCATTTAACAAATTGAGGTATCTTTACTGGGATCATTTTAAGCTGGAGTATTTTCCATCTAACTTTTGTGTTGAACAACTTGTAGTGCTTCGCATGCGTCATAGCAACCTCAAAAAGCTTTGGAATGGAGTTCATGTAAGAATGTCGCTTTATGTATTATGTGGCAACTTTTCTTGTGTTGGCTCGAGTGCTTCTATGTATGATTAGGTTTATCTTTCAATTATTGCTTGTGATTATTAATTTAACAATTCCTAAATAATGTGATGCATATTTTTTTTTTTGATTACAGAATCTTGTGAATTTAAAGGAAATTGACCTTTCGTTCTCAAAATACTTGATTGAAATACCGGACTTATCTACGGCACAAAAACTTGAAAAAGTATGTCTTAGCTGGTGCACAAGCTTACATCGGCTTCATCCATCCATTTTGTGTCATCCCAAGCTTACATATTTGGATTTAAGCTACTGCGAAAAGATTGAAAGACTTAACATCCATTCAAAATCTATGAGAAAACTATCTCTCTCCCATTGTTCATCTCTCAAGGAAATCTCAGCAATGGTAGAGGAAATGATGCTCCTAGATTTAGCTGGCTGCAAATTGATTGAAAGCTGTCACCTTCAGTCAAAATCTCTAACCAGACTATCTCTCAATGGTTGTTCATCTCTCAAGGAAATCTCGGTGGTATCAGATGAAATGAAAAGTTTGAACTTATCTGGCACGGCTATACGTGCATTGTCATCATCGATGCTATCATGCCCCAAACTTAAAAATTTTCATTTAATTGATGACAAATTCATTGAAAGCCTTGACCTTCATTCAAAATCTCTAACCAGCCTATTTCTCGATGGCTGTTCATCTCTCAAGGAAATCTCGGTGGCATCAGAGGAAATGACAAGTTTGAACTTATCTGGCACGGCTATACGTGCATTTTCATCATCAATGCTATCATGCCCCAAACTTGAAAATTTTTATTTAACAGATAACAAATTCATTGAAAGCCTTGACCTTCATTCAAAATCTCTAACCAGACTATTTCTCAATGGCTGTTCATCTCTCAAGGAAATCTCGGTGGTATCAGAGAAAATGACAAGTTTGAACTTATCTAGAAGTAATATTGAGAGCTTTCCTGCAAACATCAAAAACCTTTCAATGCTGAAAGAGCTTTGTTTAAGAGGCTGCAGGGAACTCGTGTCTCTGCCGGAGCTTCCACCATCCTTGAGAAAGCTTTGTTTAAGAGACTGCAGGAAACTCATGTCTTTGCCGGAGGAGCTTCCACCATCCTTGATAGTGCTTGAGCTAGATTACTGCAAACTCATGTCTTTGCCGGAGGAGCTTCCACCTAACCTGGATAGACTGAGCGCCGGTAACTGCATTTCTTTGAAGAAAGGGATCTCTCAACAGGTAGTGTTACAACACATGTTACACAGCTGCGTACCCTGCATACACCAACAGGGTTCGTTGAACCATTATTTCGCCTTCCCGAGAGACCATGTCATGGACGAGTGTGGGTTTCATACAGCGGAGGGTTCAATAACTATTTCTTGTCTTCCAATATCTCACTTCAGCGGTTTCATTTACTGCATCGTTCTTCCTAAGCGATTTGTCTCCAATGATATTTTGATGTCTATATATCAAGATCACGTAGAGATGAAGTCCTGGACAATCAAAGGAATGCAATTCTATAGAAGTTGCGACAATGCAATGTCAGATCACGTCATATATTGTTATGGTGACCTTAGAGAATACCACGAAATATTATTAAGTGGGGACATAACATTTACAATCGAATTTGTTGGAAGCGAAGAAATAAAAACAGAGTTTAGGGTGTTTCCGGTATATCCTACAGCATCCGGGTTTAAGCTGGGAATTTGTGAATCGGAATCCATTGACTTGGAACAACTTCCTACATCGAAGAGGAGGAGGACTCGGCCATAATTGATAAACTTCCTCTGATGACTTCATCGGTATGAAACTCACCCGCTCCTTCATTGAAGGCTCCTTCTTCTTGTTTTCTTTTTACTTACGGAATTAGACCATTGCATATAGAATTTATCTGTTAAAATATTCTAGAAAATTAAGCCTAGTATAGTATGATATATGGCGATAACATTAATTCTATAGTTAACATGTTGAGCAGGTTTTCTTTTGAATCACTTGTAGAGAAAATTCATGGGAAATGGCCACTAGCTTGTTGTGGCTTGGGAGAGTCAAAGCTGCACTTATAATTGTTTCGTCGTCTATCTGTCTTCATTCAGAAATAAAAAGGGACAATGTTATGATATTAATTCACTCGGTACGTGCAGTAACTTTGGATGCGTCATATTGAGTTCTTATAGTAATGTTTTGACCATTCAAAAGAGTAGATCAATATTAACTTTTTCATTTTTAAAATATCTATATTTATATCTTTATCTTTATTTATAATAATATATATAAAAGAGATTTTCTATATCCATTTTTATAAAGTCAATTATATTTCTATTTTATATCTAATTTTTAATCTACTAATATATACATGTTAAGGATAACATAGAAATATATATATATATATATATATATATATATATATTTTTTTTTTTTCCAAAAGCACAGAATATTTTTTTTCTTGCTAGAACATGTAAAGTAGTAGTGCTTTAATATAACTGTTTTATCTTTATTTTTATCTTTATATATAAAAAAGTAATAGTGTTATAATATAACTACAGTAATGAATGCAAATAATTTATTTTGCAAAAAAATAAAAATATACATAATTCTTAAAAATAAAAAGAATTAAAGTAGTAGTGTTTTAGTATAATTGCATTGATGAATGCAGCGAATTTATTATGCACGTAATTTTGAAAAATAGATAAAGAGAATTTATTTTGCAAAATCAAATGTACGTATTAAATTCTAATAAGAAAACTATTATTTAAAGAAACTATCATGAATTTTGATTTCCATCGACTTAAATCATCATGGCAATAATAGATGTTAGGAATCAAAGTCAAAAAATTAATTTCACAAATCAAAATAAAAAAAAAAAGTTAATATATTTTATTATATATATATATATATCATCAATTAATTATTTTTTATAAGTATTGCATGCACGGACCGTTCTGGATTCAGAACGGCCCGTTCCAGAACGCCAACTTCATGCCTGCGTTGACCAAAATGCCACAATGTGATTCAAAAATTAAAAATAAAAATTCATAACATATCATAAATTCAAAAACAAATATATGGTTTAGAGACTTAAAATAAAAATTCAGAACATAACATATACTAAAAAAGTTCAAAGAAATTACTGAGAAGGGAAATCATCTAGATAACGCTGAAGGTGCCAATAATACATCTTATCCACTAGATAACACTGAATGGCAATAGGATATCAGCATTATCTACCTGTACATGTGGTTGTGTGGTGAAATGTTAGTCCTGTGTATCCTCTTCCTTTACTTCAGGTTGTACCTCCTCAAGAACAGGTTGTTGTTGTTGTTGGGATACATCGTTAATGACTTCAAGGAAAAATACCATGTCATTTCATCCTTTACTGTATAGTGTCAATTTGGTAGTAAGTGGTTCACTCTAGTTTGATTAACAATGAAATAAAATCTGCAACCATTGTCTTTAGTGATACACTGCATTGTCCTTAATGATACACTGTATAACCCAACTGTTTAACAATTGAAGTTATCAATTTCCATTGACAATATTTCCAAATCCAGTGTTTGAAATGCTTTGTACCTTGGGTCTTTTTCCTTGCACGATTCACAACCGTGAACTATAATCATCGACCGTTTGTATTTGGTTTTCTGGAAACAGAACGGCCCGTTCTGGTTGCACTCTTGGTGTGCTAATTTTGCATTTGAAACGGCCATTTCCAGGTGCAAAATTAACACACTAAGAGTGCAACCAGAACGGATCGTTCTGGTTTCAAAACGGGTCATTCTGGTTCCAGGTGTATTCATGAAATTTGGCATTCACCTATGCATCTACGTGGCATTCACGTGGCCAACAGTTAACTCCGTTTAAATAATTTTGATGGAAGTCCCATATTACAACCAATTAATTTATTAGGGACCAAATTGAAACAAAAAATAACATTGAAATTAAATTGAAAGAAACAATTATTATACGAGACCAAAATAGGTTTTTAGCATATTTTTTTTTTTATAGAAATTCTTTTAACTTCATCTTTTGAATTGTTTATCTTTAATTTAATCACTTATTTTTATTTTGAATTTGAATTTCTATAAGTTTTTAAAAATTTTCAATAATAAAAAAAATCATTTCACAAATTATTTTTTATTATAAATTAAAAATATAATTATATATTTAAAATGTTTATTTATCATAAAATGTAATTATATAAAATAAATATTTATGTTGCATAGTAAATATTCAGTTGATTAGGTAGGCGAGAGAGCTCGTAAGCTCCTTGATAAATAAATAAAAAATTTACTATTATTTATTTATTTAAAGAGTCACATGATTTTATATTTTTCTCCAAATTCCAATCTTAGGTTATTAGGGTTTGCAACTTAGAATTCTGAAGTTACAATAGCAGAGACAGAATGGGGCGCAAGGAGAAGTCTAAGGCCAAGGCAATAGAGCACAATGACACAGACAACGTTAACGGCGCTTCGACGCCGTCACTCGTCTTCAGCGACGACGACGACGACGAAGCTAACCAAGATCTCAGCCTCAAGATTGTAGAAAAGGCCCTGCGATGACTTCAAGGAAAAATACCATGTCATTTCATCCTTTACTGTATAGTGTCAATTTGGTAGTAAGTGGTTCACTCTAGTTTGATTAACAATGAAATAAAATCTGCAACCATTGTCTTTAGTGATACACTGCATTGTCCTTAATGATACACTGTATAACCCAACTGTTTAACAATTGAAGTTATCAATTTCCATTGACAATATTTCCAAATCCAGTGTTTGAAATGCTTTGTACCTTGGGTCTTTTTCCTTGCACGATTCACAACCGTGAACTATAATCATCGACCGTTTGTATTTGGTTTTCTGGAAACAGAACGGCCCGTTCTGGTTGCACTCTTGGTGTGCTAATTTTGCATTTGAAACGGCCATTTCCAGGTGCAAAATTAACACACTAAGAGTGCAACCAGAACGGATCGTTCTGGTTTCAAAACGGGTCATTCTGG